TATATATATATATATATATATATATATATATATATATATATATATATATATATATATATATATATATCCTAAATTCTGACTTAATTGACAAGTTGAGTACAAACAGGTGTAGCAATACCTGCTCGAGTGCACGTGTCATAGCTAAAATAGCACCCTTCCCATCAATGTGTGGTTGAGTTATGTGATATGCATCACCTATTGGAAAGTATAGACCATTAAATAAGATGTAGCTGGAAATAGAAAAGTTAAACTAAACAAAAAAGATTGAACAAAACCTGACATCCCATAGCCTCGAACTTCTGCATAAATTTTTGCTCCTCGCTCCTTAGCATGATTCAGTTCCTGACATTTAGGAAAGGACAGTGCATAGGACAACCAAGTAGCAGAGAAGTGCTTCTTGCAATAGCAAAAATGGCCACAGAACTACACACATAAAGAAATAGCAGAAAAGTGCTTCTTGCAACAGCAATCATGGTCACAGAAATACACACCAAAGTTCATAAAGAAAGGGTTGTTTAGCATGCAAAGCTCTCACCAATACCAAATCTAGTAAATCTCACTATATGTAACTCCCCTTGGTAAACAAAGATGTTTCCACGACCCAAACACTATACCCAGGTCACTGAGGTTGTTACGTCAAGGCTTGCCATTGTAAAGGAAAATTAGTAAGAAAATAATGCTTAGATAAAACAAAACAGATGATTATTCAAAATCAAACCATGTCATTCTATAGGTTAACTGTAACATATCTTCTGCTTCAGCAAATCTTATCAATGTATGCCTCCTCTTTTGATTGTGAGTATTCATTTCTTGCAATCTCAGTCTAGACCTAGGTTAACTTCATTCCTCCACCCTCTTCTAGACTTTCAACATATATCTGAATGATATTCTTATCGTATCACTTTTTGACTGCCATTTCAGGTAATCAATCCAGATAAAGTTGCATCTACTTCTGCAATGGCTTTGCACTTGCGTAGCTTTGTACTCAGTTGAAAAGAGAAGGAAACTTCATCTTCTAACACCACGAATTCAGGAGAGTTACACCTTGTTTGTCTTCTGCAAAGAAGTTTTTTTTTAAAAAAAAACTGTTCTAACACGTGATTCACTGTATGGGGAACTCTTTTTTATGTTGATGGCTGATGTGAAATGTGTTTAGTCATAATGAGTGTCGAACCGACCATCCATATATCTGACTAGGAAAGAAAATTTATATAACCAACATGAAAAGAATACAGTGATGATAGAATACTGGGTGCTATTACCCAAACTGAAGTCATTACCGGAGTTATATCATTTACATAATCATACTATAATTAACAGTCCAGACCTTTTTCCACAAGACAAAATATAAGTTGTTACTAACTAAGAGCCTCAAGACATGAATCATTAATCTGCAAGTTACAAAGTAAGTACCAAATTGCCAATCCTTATATTACATAGCAGATGACCAAGAGGCAAAAAAAAGGAGCAACATCTAATTCAATAATTATCTATATGTATATATCTTGATAATTGGCATTATATGTGGTCTAATTGCAAGTAAAATTAGCTACCAACATTCAGGTTTATATGATAAGATAAGCAAAGTTAACATTCACAAAACATCATAAACTTACATAGAAATAGGCTTTTACTTCTCATTGTCAGTCCAATAACAAAACTTCACAATATACACTACTAAAGTATTTTTGTCTAAGCAGAGTGCTGTCTAACAAACTCATAGGGAAAGAGGAGATGCAGTAGGCACTGCCTTATAGGAGCAAAACTAGTCAGTTAGGTTCTCATATTTCTAGAGTCTGACAATATCCTCCAATGTCACTACAGTTTCTAAATCACAAGTTGCAAGGACCTCACTCTACAGAATGAATAACATCATTACCATTACACCTGCTAACCTACTCAAGTAGCATAAACAATTTGCAATGCCCTACAAACAGCTGCACATTATTTCTGAAATAATATACAAGAAAAACAAAAAAAAATAGAATCATCATTGGATCCTGAAATATTGTATTGAACAGAAATAAAATAAAGAATAGCCTCAAACATCCCAGGAGATGACTCACCTCCAACACCATCACGCCAGATCCTTCACCTATCCTGTAATTTGATTTATCAGATGACAATATCCACCAGAACCAAAAAGGAAAGATGAAACGGGGAATAATAAAGATAAACAGGTGCAGGAATTATGTCGTACACAAATCCATCTCTGTCACAATCAAATGGTCGAGAAGATACTTGTGGTAGAAGGTTATACTTTGTAGCCAGTGCTCTTGACCTATCAATTTAACATGTAAGACCACATTATAGGCAAGTGCAAAGTGCAAGCAGCCAAAGTTACATAAAAGAAATTCTACACGTACATGCATGTGCACACAAAAATAGAAGAGCAGGCCTAAGGGCAAACCAAAATAACAATAAAATCAATGACTTTTAAATATAGTTTTCAGGACTTCAATCCCCATCATTTGATGCTTCGATGACTTATTTTGGCATTGAATAGCAAGAATTGACAACATTTCAGGGTTAAGAAGCACTTCAGAATGTTCTTTACAAGTTCTATCTATCATAAGATGAGCATATCTTCCCAAATGACAGAGATCTTCAACTAACATGTTGTATTTTCAGATCTGTATACTATTTTTTTATTGTACATTTTATATTATTTGGTGCACAAAGAGAAAAACACAAATTTCATGGCTACAAATTTCTGGAAATTGTTATCGAGTTTGAAATACATTTTTCCTGCATTAATGTGGGATCCATTGTGTTGAAGTTTAGGAGGTACAAAGTAGAAATGGCATCCTTCATGTTGCAAGTGATCTATCATCAACATGGATCAGAGAACTTATCTTGAAGAGACAAACACTGTTAGATTACGAAGCACAAACTGAAGGATCTATCAACTGAATATTACCTACAAAATCCAGCTATTGACAAAGCATCGATACTGGACTCTGTTCCTCCGGCGACCATAACATCCGCATCTCCAAACTGAATCATCCTTGTTGCATCACCAATGGAATGAGCTCCAGTTGCACAAGCTGTAACAGCAGCATGATTTGGGCCCTACCAATTAGGACAAACAAGTTCAGTTGGTATTCTTTAATTATGACTACAAATGATATTTTGAAACAAAGGGTGAAGATTTTGAACAGACTATATCGATGACAGAAATTCAAAAGAGCAAATTTCATGCCTGGAATCCATATTTCATGCTGACATGACCAGATGCCATGTTGATCAGTATTCTAGGGATGAAGAATGGGCTAAGCCGACGTAAACGCTGTTTTCAAAAAGTAGAGCATGTCATATAATTACTTGATACAGCCGTGCCTCCCATGCACAATCATGTACTTGCCTATGATAAAAACCAATTTATAAAGAAGTCTCGATTCCAGAGAAGAAACAAGAAGGATTTCAATATGGTAAACTTAGTATAATATGAGAAAGGACCTTATCACATATCAGCTGAGCTGCATCTAAAATGTCGGAGATGCTTCCTATCCCACCGCCAATGGAAACACCCTGATACCTTAGGATTAGACGATAACCATATATAATATAAGTTTCTAAACATTTAAAGAGAAAATTTTGGTACCGTTCTTTCCTTCTTTTCTGGTTCAGTTGGTAACCAGTTTGCATCTCTGAGAGCCTCCTCGGTTGAACAGAGCGCATAAGCAATAAATCTTGATGTGGACCTATGGTCCTGAGAAATAGAAAGAAATTAAAGTTTGGGTATAAGAATGACTGAAGTTGATTTTAGAATCTTTTAAGGTAGCAAACTTTGAGGCCTTTGAAGAAAACACAAGTAGCTTAACGGGATAGCATACAGAATATCAATCTTTTGGCTCACAACATGGCCAAAATGGGGGGAAAGAAAAACTAATAAAGAGACATGTGGCATCTTCAGCTACTTGGCTTAATTGTGACATTGAGATGGAAAAATAACTTTTTGTTTTTCCACTCCATGACACAAATGAGATAATAGATCAATTCCTGAAAACCGAAGGATGATGTAATGGAAGAAATTTTCATCTTCAAAGTGTATCATTGTCAGTTGACTCAATCTAAAAGTTCTCAAGAGACATTTAAACTGTTTGGTTTCCACCTTCTAAATTCTTATAAACAATTATCTATTATCTTGGTCCACTTAGCATCCGAAATATTTAGCTTACGCCATCTTTTATTAGGTAGAAAAGTTAGCAACTAATTTGACTCTGTTACCATGCATATTAGTCCTTCCTGACACACTGCAGACCATGCTATTTGCACCCTACATCACAGTTGGATTTCTTCCGTCTCAATGACGATTTGGAAAGAAGGTCCCTAATCCATGAGCTTAAGATTTCACCAAACACGTTTGCATTTTCTGCATAAATCATAGAATAAGGATCCACATACCAACTCAAATAACAAAAGATAACCCCAATGGTGTTTGACAATGGGCCCTAATACACTACCACCGCAACAAAGTGCATAACGAAATCATGACGAACTATGAATCCTCACATTTGACCTAATCTTCTCATTCGGCGCGTACTTAAAAGGAGGGAAGAAAGACACATCCAAGATTTCGACGAACACAGAGCTCTAACGCAGAAAAATGAGTTAGACTTCTCGAATACCTTGGACTGCAGCCACTGCTCCTCGTCGAACTTCCCTTCCCCTTTTCCGCACGGCACGATGGCCGCCACCTTGGCCGTCAGCTGGTCGTAGGTGTGCATCACCGTGGCCTCATCGAAGCCGTCCATTCTGAGATCAGCGGGCGTGAGCGCCCGCACGCCGCACCGTTCATCCACCAGCCGCCGCCACGTCTCCCCCACGCCGCACCCAAGCGGGGTGACCATCCCCAGACCTGCCCAAGGCCCCGAGTCACGGCCGCCGAATCGAGATCAGCCGGTGCGGACGAAGGCAGAAGCGGACGGGGAGAGAGTGCGGGTACCTGTAACCACGACACGGCGGCGAGGGGCGGCCGGCGGCGGATCGAAGGCTTGGGAGGAGAGGAAGCGGCGCCGAATAGGACGGCGGGTGATCCGGCGGAGAGCCTCCATGTCGAGTGGCCCCTCCTAAAACCCTAACGAGACCAATAAGGATGAGCTGCGGTGGCCGGTGTGCATGATGACATAACATAACCGGGAAGCATAATTACATTCATAATCAAATTATTAGTCCAACTATTTATCACGTTATGTGAGATATCAAATCAATAACACAAGAATACCTATTATAAATTAATTTAATTTAATTTGATCGTTACCCAAACATATTATAAAAAGATATTTAAAGTGCATCAATTGACTTGTAATGGTCGATAGTTCAATTTAATACACATATATGACTAAATAATAATAATATTAATATATAACCCTATTGTATACTAACTATTCACTTTAATTTGACGATTATTTGGACTTGTTATAAAAAGATATCTCAGGCGCATCATTTGACATATCTAAAAATATCATATGTTTGAATCATCAAAATATCTACTAACTCAAGCGATCCTTGTTAAATACGTGGCATATAGTTTTAAGCAAAATATAAAGTAACAAAATTAATGCACTATTTTTTAGAATTTTGATCATTATGAAAAATAATACTATCTGGAAATAAATCCAAAATGGGATTTAGGAAAATCAGAAGATTATATATTTTTTTTTCGGAAACTTACCATTTTTATTTATATTAGATTTATAGACGAAGAGCAGCAGTAACAATTAACGATGATGCCATCGAGTTCTACGACTTGGCATCATCGTCGTTGATCTCATCGTCTTCGATCTTTTCGCCGATTCAAACAACGGCAAATCCAAACGGTGCTGATAGTTGCCACGTGGAACGAACAAATGGCTGGTAAAAAGAGGAACTTTGTACCTTTCAAATCGTATCTGACGGTGGGTCCCGTTGGCACCAAATGCTTCCAACAGTAACGAAGGTGGTTAATTGGGTAGATGATAAATAGGTGGGAAAAGAGTTCATAGCATTCGCGTTCGCGTCTACCTCTTCTCGCCGACCTCTTATATTCTCCCCCCCCCACCTCCTTCCCTCTGTCTCTCTCTCTCTCTCTCTCTCTCTCTCTCTCCGTTGAAAGGTCGAGGAGCAGCGGAGAAGTGACGCCTGTGGTGGTCAGGGGGGTTCGCCCGATCGCCGTCGATGTTGGGACTCAACGTGACGGCGCCACCGGCGGTGAGCCCGCCGCCGGGCAAGGAGCAGCAAGCGGCTGGGGTGGGGATCCTCCTGCAGATCTCTATGCTGGTGCTTTCCTTCGTCGTCGGCCATGTTCTCCGCCGTCACAAGTTCTACTACGTCCCCGAGGCCAGCGCTTCCCTCATCATAGGTACCCGTCCCCCTTTTTTGTCTCCTCCCTTTCTTTCCACGGCCCGTTTGATGCGGGTGGACTCCTTTATCACGCTCCTTGTGTTCTTACTTGATTACTTCTGCCGTTAATTTATATGTTGGAGGGTTCTGAAATTGCCTTCTTGGAGATAATTTTGGCCAAAAAATGGTTTGGTTTGGATTGTTTATACCACCGATCGGTTTTGTTGTTCATTATTGCTAGCGATTAAATCGATTATCGAGTATCTGTAGTAACTGAAACCTAGCGCTTCCATATGAAGGGGAATGAAATTAATCATCAGAGGATTTGTTTCATAAACAAATAATTTACACTTGAAGACAAGTTCCAAAGGAGAAGATAGTGTACTATCATGAGGTCTTGATGCTCACACTGGGCTTGTTAAGTTTACGAGTGTATTCCATAGCTCTACAAGAATGTCTCTCGAGGTATGATAGGATTATGAGACCTCACTGTTCTTTATAGGAATTGTTATCGTGAAAATTTGTGGTTTAAATTGTTCTTTTGGAACAGCATTTTTTTTAAGTTGCAAATTGTACAATCTCTTGTGCAAAGCCAGTAGACATGACGATCCATGACGAAATAGGGTATTCTTAGATTTTTATTGATTTAACTGTTGGCAACGATAAACAAATAGTTTGATATTTATTGTGCACAAAGTTTTGATGCATATAGATTGTTGTTTATGGTGGTAGTGTACTAGACCCACTTACTAGGGGTTGATGACTCAAAATATCATTTGATTTTTCACACCTAAAACATTGGTAGTGGGACCACACCCACTTACAAAGGTTGAGGTCTCCTTTGATAAACTTTATTGGTATACCAGACCTGCTTATCAAAGGTTGAGATTCAGATTCTCATCTGATCATTTTTTTTAAAGATTTCTGCTAGCTTGGCTGATAAAAGCTTTGACCACTGATAGGAAGATAAGATGATCAAATCTCATTTTAACCGATTATCCTTTGAAAAAAAAAAGAGAGAATGGTGGAAGATTTGCTACCGTTTGAAATATCTACCAGAGAGGCAGAAAGATTTTTGTTGATTCCTTAACTAGTACCTCAGAATTCTTCATGTTCTGGCCATAGAATTGCATTCAGGAATCGAGTTAGATTTACATGTCAGGTAAAGTATGGTAGATTAGGAACTCAGATTTGTCTATCTAGTTCAAAAATTTTATGGCTTCTCTGTTATTCTTGGGACTTGCAGTTATGGGATGCAGTACATGATCATAGTGTGATCAGCAAATGCTGAGACTGGTGGCTCTGTTGGATGGAAAAACCATTAAATTTTTGTTGATCTTTCAATTGTGAGTTAGGTTGCTGGCGTTTTTGAGTGGCTTCTTAATGAAGTACATGGTTGCGGAGTCTCGACAGGTGACACACATTCAGGATTTAAGGATGTGATTTTATTACTAGATAAAAAGGTTCAAAGTTTATGGTCTAAGGATTTTTGTTGTTGGTTTGTAATCCAACGATATGGCTGTGGTTAAATGCATCAGATGAAGTGGAGATCTGCAGAGCTAGGATTTTACTGTCTTTGACTTATTATACCCAACAATAGTATCATACTTTCTTCCAACTCTAAATCTCATGTGAGCCTTCTTATCCTTCAAATCTCTGGTTTCATTAACGTACATAATCTGGTTGTTGCTTGATGTGTATGACTAGATGGAGTGATATATCCTCACTACTATGAGAAGAACACTGTTCTGATACCGTGTCTACTTTGTTGTAGCAAATACTTGCCCAAGTTGATGATTCTCTTCCTGATCCTAATTTCCTGATTGATTATGTTTACATCCCTTTTATTATGCTCTATGCCTTATTAAGCAAGGAAGAGGGTTGTAGATGAGCTAATTTGAATGAACACTTTGAATGTTTAAGCAATAAATAAATATCCTGCAGCACATGTAAACTACCTATTTTACTGACAGTTCTGTGGATTAGATACATAACAAAAGACACCAGATTTCAGGTTTTTGAAGCCTTGTGGATGCTTATACGACAATTTTAGTTTCTTATATGATTTGGCATGCTATTCTTTTCCTTCAATACATGAATAACACTAGTTGATCTTCGTTAACACTTTGTTACCTTTAATATCCAGATAGTTATGTTTTCCTGCCCATGTGTTCTTCACATGGCATGTTTGATAAAAAGAAAAAAAAAACATGATGCCTTATATACCAATCTGACAGGAAGTTTCTTTAAAAAGAAACTTAAAGTTGTTGCAATTTCTTTTCTTTTTGTGAATACTTTTAACCGCAATAAAGATCAATTGCTTTTATATTTACAGGTTTACTTGTTGGTGGACTTGCTAATATTTCAGATACTGAAACCAGTATCAGGTGTGCATGCCTTATGCCTCATTTTATGAACTCTTTGACCAGTATACCTGATCCTTAGTGCTTCCGTCTTTTGCTCTATTGCAGGAGGTGGTTTAATTTCCATGAGGAATTTTTCTTCCTTTTCTTGCTGCCGCCAATTATATTATATCCTACTAAGCACATGCTCTAATTATTATTTATTATTTTACTGTTCAATGATATTAGAAGGATTAGTATCATTCTATATTGTATGCTGTTTCTCTTTAACTTTAGCACACCCAATCTGGGTTCAGTTTAGCACCGGTAAGTTTCTGATGCCATATTTATTCTTGAGCTTCTGTTCTTGCATTTAAAATTGTATCTGATGTATTTGTATAACTGATACTGACAGAAACCATTCTTTTCAAACTTTGGGGCCATTGTCACATTTGCTATCTTAGGAACATTTATTGCTTCAGTGGTAACAGGGGTTTTAGTGTAAGTATGTCTTAACCCTTTGCTCCCCATATTTTATGGGATAAGATTTTGTGGTTTCAAACTTCTTTTCATATCTTATGTGTCATTATTTTGGCAGATATCTTGGTGGTTTAACGTTTCTGATGTACAAATTGCCATTAGTTGAGTGCCTGATGTTTGGTGCTCTCATATCTGCAACTGATCCTGTTACTGTTCTGTCAATATTCCAGGTTTCTTAATCATTCCTATTTATCATATCCTTTTATGGATTATGTATCTCTGGCTAAAATTTGTCTATCAGCAAACATTAGCAATCTGTGTTTTTCTTATCGGAATTTCCCATCAAACTTAGTTTATCGAGGACATTTGATTTTAGAAAAGATGAGATGGATATTAAAGTTCCGTAATCTCTAGGTCATAGCCTATTGAGGTTCTTTGCATTTGATGAAAGCAAGCTGGTGTCTCACTGTAGTTCTAATGCTTGAAACCGAGGATATAAGTTCTGGCAGCAAGGAGGGTTTTTGCTAGCTATCAAAATGACACATTATGGCACGCCATGTGCTACCAAGCCAAATACAACACAGTTGTTCTGCTGCTGGCACAGGAAAAAAAAGGAAATAGAAGCAAGAGATAGTAATAGAAAAAAAATCAAAGCAATACTATTAACTGCATGGTATTAGGAATAGAAAAGGGCAGTGTACTACACTACATGATGCTCCCGCCAATGCTTCAATGTATGGAGCCATACCTCCAAGTTGGAATCCTGGTCTCTCAAGTCACAAAGAGTAACCTTAAACTTTCTTCCGCATTAAGCCTTCCTATTTTCCATCCTAAAAAATATGTGCAGTCGCTGTTCTCGCTCCCTCACAAGGCTTAAGTTGTCAGGGTTCAGTGAACCCTACTCATGGTACAAGAATTGGCTGGCTCCTTGTTGTAGTGTGAACTTGGCCAGTTTGATCATGTACTAGTCTGGCTTAAA